ATTTATTTATTTATTTATTTATTTATTTATTTATTTATTTATTCAGTCTTTTTGAGACAGGTTCTCCCTGTAGCACCAGCTGTCCTGGAACTCACTATGTAGACCAGGCTGGCCTCGCACTCACAAAGATCTGCCTGGCTCTGCCCCCCAAGTGCTGGGATCAAAGGCGTACGCCACCACACCCGGCTACTTGTGATATTTATAAACAGCAGAAACATTAGGCCAATAGGAGGCCAGTAAGCCTCAAGACAGCTCATATCTTGTGTCTCCTATGAAGGATGTAGGGCTATGAAGTCAAATTCACAATGATGAGCCCTAAAACAAAAAGGGAGGTTCTATACCACAAAACCACTTCAAGATTACAAAACACACATGCTCTCCTGTCATGTGAATCTACCCACACACACTCCAAGAAAAGACAACCACTGTATAATACAATGTTATTTTTCTTTCCTCAGGAAATCTTTTACCAGGGTAATATTTCAGTACTGATATCCTGAGTAAAGTCTTGGGTATCTGTGATAAAACATCATCAGACACACAGTCTACAGCCCCCCTGGGGGTTGATAAAGAATATTTTTCTTAACCCAACTCATAAATCCAAAAACAGTTAATTAGACACAAAATGAACTCTTGCTGATTTTTAAAATTTTTTATTTATTTTTATTTTATGTGTATGCGTGTATTGCCTACATGTCAGTAAGTGCACCCGTGTCGTACAATGCCTGCAGAGGTCAGAGGCTGTCGGATCCCCTGGGACTGGAGTTACGGACAGTTGTTAGCTGCCATGTGGGTGCTGGGATTCAAACCCGGGTCTTCTGCAAGAACAACCAGTGTTTTTAACTGCTGAGCCATTTCTCCAGCCCCGACTCTTGCTGATTTTTACATCCCTCGAATTCTTCTTTTTGAAAGAGGGTCTTATGATATATCCTAGGTTAGTCTCAAATTTGAATTCCTCCTGCCTCAGCCTCCCAGGTGCTGGGTTAGAACAATGTGCCACCACACTATCCCAGCACTTGGGAGGCTGAGGCAGGAGGAATGCATGTTCAAAGCCATCCTGGGCTACATAGTGAGACTTTGTCTTAAAAAAGCAAGGGGCTGGAGAGATGGCTCAGCAGTTAAGATCTTGCAGAGGACGGAGTTTGATTCCCAAAAACTATATGGTGGCTAACAACCATCTGTAACTCCAGTTCTAGGAGATTCAACTCAGTCTTCTGACTTCTGTGGACTTACACATAGGCAGACGATACACTCATAAACATTAAAAATAAAATTAAAAAAACAAAGCAAACAAACAAGAAAACCTCAAACACTCAAACTTACAATAGTCTTACCAATGCTCTTATGAAAACAAATCTGTTTCACATTAAGACCAGAAACACAACTTGCTGAAAGTATCCAGGCATTTAGGAACATTTTTACCAAGAATTATTGGCAGTAAAGAATCCACATTTATGGGGGGAAAAATGTATGAAAAAGACAGCTGGAGTTAGATAAAGAAAACCACAAGATTCAGACTGGAGTTACTAGTGAGATGGTTCCCAGCGTCACTACACCCCCATTTTGAATTTCATTAAAGAAGAAAGGCATCTCAAGACACTGCTGACACACTACCTCTGAAGAATTCCACCAGTCTGTAATAATTACACAGACCAACGCAACAGGGTGCTTTGACACCTTAAACTCCTCCTTTCTAAACTGCTCAGCACCTACGAGTGGGTACATATGACAATGACAAAGGTTTTAGGAATTAACACTGAAGGATGACAGGTCAGAACCCTGGGCTGATTTATGGGGATATGAACTCAAAGAAAAAGAAGCTGGGTATTGGTATAACAATTTAAAAATAAAATCCCAAACATGCAGCAGCAGGGAAAAAAAAAAATCAAACAACAGCAGTCACTTTCCTTGAATTCCTGAGGTAAGTTACCATGGACCCTCAGATGTGGACTAACTGTGGCCCATTTCCGTCTGGGCGTAGGTGCCAATTATCTGAAGTTCTTTGGACGGGTGCAGCCATTTCTCCTGCTGAGCAGTGGTGCCCTGATTCAGCAAGGTAGGGATAAACATGGAGTAATTGAGGCCCAGAGGTTCCACAAAATTGACCAAAGGCAGTCTACAGGAGAGAAAAGAAAAGGTCTCAGCCTCACTCTAGAAATAGATCCTACCAGCCATTCTGTTTTCCTTTTATTATTGTGTGTGTGTGTGTGTGTGTGTGTGTGTGCGTGCTCATGAGCACAGGCATGGAAGTCAGAGAACCATTATATGGAGTAGGAGTTCTCCTTCCACCTTCATGTAGGTTCCAGGGATCGCACTCAGGTTGCCAGGCTTGGTGGCAAGCACCTGCTGAGCCATCTTGTCAGCCCCCAATCCATTCTTCACAAACAGTCTTGGTCCTTAGGATGAAAACTAGAAAATTAAAGCCCTTCTCTTATGAAATTAACATTTACCATTTTACTGTCTAAAAAGCCAAAATAGGATCTTACAGGGTCTCTTCTCCTGTTAATCACCTTGGGGCCAAAATTCTTTTTTTTTTCTGGTCCTGAGGACTAAACTAGTACCTCAGTCAGGCTAAGCATGGGTTCCATCACAGAACCACTCCTGCAGTCTTCAGAATTCTTTTTTAAAATCTATACTTGGGCTGGGTGTAGTGGCGCACACCTTTAATCCCAGCACTCAGGAGGCAGAGGCAGGTGAATTGCTGTGAGTTCAAAGCCAGCCTGGTCTACACAGTGAGTTTCAGGACAGCTGGGGCGACAGGGAGACCCTGTCTCAAAAAGACCAAAAATAAAAAATAAAAAAAAAATCTACACTTAATCCAAAACATTGGGTTTTGTTGGTGGTCTTATTTGATTGGTTGGATGCTTTAGACTGTGTGTATTGTGTACTTTCAGTTTTACTTGTTTTGAAGATTAAAAAGAACTTGGGGGGCTGGAGAGATGGCTCAGCAGTTAAGAGCACTGACTGCTCTTGCAGAGGACCTAGGTTCGATTCCCAGCACCCACACAGCGGCTATGAACTGTCCTTAACTCCACTTCCAGGGGAATCCGAAGCCCTCTTCTGACCTCCGCAGCATTGCATGACACAGGTGCACCCACACACATGCAGACAATACATTCATACACAGAAAATAAAAATAATAAAATGTTTAAAAAAAAAAAAAAGCCTCAGGCCAGACGTGGTGGTACACACCTTTAATCCCAGTACTCGGGATGCAGAGGCAGGCAGATCTCTGAGTTGGAGACCAGCCTGTTCTCCATGGTGAATCCAGGACACAGCTGGGGCTACAGGGAGACCCTGTCTCAAAAAGACCAAAAAAAAAAAACCACAAAAAACTCAGTAGAACATTAATCTATATAGCTTAGGAGTTTTAACAAAAACTCCTAATAACAGTTTATTGTTGTTGTTTCAAGACAGTCTCACTATGTACCCCAGGTTGACCTAAAACTTACTATGTAGCCCAGGTTAACCTCAAACTCCTAGGAATCCTCCTGCCTCAACCTCCCAAGTGCTGGGATTACAAGCATGTGCCACCATGCCTGACTGTAAGAATAATAAACTATCTTTCCCTTGATAATCCAAGCAAAAATCCTAAAAAATAAATACAAATTTCAGGGCAGAATTATAGATCTCTAATCATCTTTATGGTTTACAGATGACAAATAGCTAGTATGAGCAGCTTTTACATCATCCCCAATGGCCAATGAACAAGGGAATGCTGTGTATGACACTGAAATTCAGCCCTCAACTATCTTTTCATAACAGAAGATATGAAATAAATACAAATTGCTCAGAAGGCTCAGCCTTGACTATGCTGTCCTACAGATTCCCTGGGGGTCTATTTTGCATTTTGACACAGCATGTATCTAAAGACCTTGAAGTACAAAACATTTATCTACCTAAGTGACCTTGATGACTAGTAAGAAGTGTCATAAGGAACAGAGCATAGACAAAGAAGGGTAGACTGCCACTCTATTTTGAGGCCTACCACCTTAAAGAAGCAGTAGCAAGCACAACATACCCTCTTAACTGTTCTACTTCCTAAATAAATACTGCACAAATGATCCCATTCTTTTATGCTTTACATAAATCATAATCCACTTTCAAACACCTTTTTTCATAGGTGCTCTTAGAATTTGATACTGTCAATAATCAAACTTAACTAACACAGGGGGCTGGAGAGATGGCTCAATGGTTACGAACGCTGGCCCCTCTTTGCAGAGGACTCAGGTTTTCAATTCCCAGCACCCACATGGCAGTTAACAACCAGTTACAGGGAATCTGACGCTCTCTTCTGACCTACATGGACACTGCATGTCATGGGTACACTGACATACATGTAGGCAATACGCTCATACACATAAAATAATTTTTTATTTTTTTATTTATTATTTTTATTTTTTATGTGTATGAGTGTATTGCCTGCACGTATGTAAGCTCACCTGTGTCCTATAATGCCCACGGAGGACAGAAGAGGCCATCGGATCTCCTGGAACTGGAGTTAATGGACAGTTGTTAGCTGCCATGTGGGTGCTGGGATTCAAACCCAGGTCTTCTGCAAGAACAACCAGTGTTCTTAACTGCTGAGCCATCTTTCCAGCCCCTATAACCCACCTTTTAAAATCTTTTTGAGACAGGGTCTCCCTGTAGCCCCAGCTGTCCTGGAACTTACTATGTAGACCAAGCTGGGCTTGAACTCACAGAGATCCGCCTGTCTCTGCCTCCCAAGTGCTGGGATTAAAGGCATGCGCCACCACGCCTGGCCTAAAATAGTATTTTTTTAACTATGAACTAATACAGGTTCTACCAGAGGGAATAACTTCTGTGCCTTAGGCCCAGGTAATGTAAACAGCTTCTGTTCACAAACATCAGAGAAGAATGTTTTCTCTGCTGTCAATGATTTCATTTGTGTGGTTAGGTCAGAAAATCACTTTTCAGCTGCGGATTCAGCTTAGTGGTAGAATGTTTGTCTAGCATGCACACAGCACTATGTTCAATTCCTAGCATGGCAAAAATAAATAAATCACTTTTCACGTATGCTGGGCACAGACTTGTCTAAACATCCAAGAGATGACTGACTAGCTGACATCTAAATAAGTAAATAAACAACAATAAAGAACCCCAATAATGAAATACCTTTGGGCCCTGACATCATTTTCATCAATTGTTACTTTAAACAGGAGGGAAGCTGGTATGGCACATGCCTATAACCTCAGCACTAGCTCTTAAGGCTGAAGCCAGACTGGGCTACACAGCAAGACCCTGTCTGGAGAAACAAATACGAGGGAAACGGGAGAGGACTAGGAAGGGAAAAGGTGAGTCAGTTTCTAGTACGTTAGGTTAGCACATCTTAGGTGAGAGGTTAGCACATCTTAGGTGAGCAAGCACCAAAAGCCTGTGGAGGAGAAACGGAAAATCCGAGGGCCAAAAAGGCAAAACACTCCGGACAGGCATTTCTGGTCTCACTGAAGCCATGTGTCAGGATGCATTTCCCACTTCGTTATATATGATCATAAGGAGAAATGAATGACACACCAGAATTAAGAGGAGTTAATTTAGGTGCTAGAATGTGGAAAATATAAGGCCTTCTAAACCAATGAGGGAACTGAGAGGGCTGAGTAACTTAGCAAAATATTCTGAAGACTGAAAATGTCATTAACACAAAAGCATGCTTAAGACACTGAGAGGAGCTGGGTTGTAGTGGCACACACCTTTAATCTCAGCACTCAGGAGGCAGAGGCAGGCAGATCTCTGAGTTCAAGGCCAGCCTGGTCTACATAGCGCTACACAGGTCAACTGGGGTTACAAGGAGACGGTCTCAAAAAGACCAACACACACACACACACTTTTACTAATTTTCAAAATTACTTGGTGCTAGGAGAAAGCAGCTTGCACCTACAATCCAGCAAGCAGGCAGGAGGGTTTCCAAAAGTCTAAGGCTAGTCTGGGTTAAACAGTGAGTTGTATAGGCCAGCTTGGGGCTACAGTGTGAGACCCTTCTTCAGAAGGAATAAAGAACCTAGTGTGGTGGCACACACCTTAATCCCAGCACTCAGGAGGCAGAGGCAGGCAGATCTCTGTGAGTTCAAGGCCAGGTAGGGCTATAGGAAAACCCTGTCTCAAAAACCCAAACCAACAACAACAAAATACCCCACAAAAACAAAATAGTACCAAAAATAAAAATAAATAAATGACCAGTAAATGTACCAAATCCTCAGAAATACGCCTGCTTCATCGACTTTAGCACCCCGCCCCCATTTCCCATTTCAGCATTCTGGTAACCCACTGTAGTTCACATTAATGGTTTGTTTGGTGATACTTAAAATACCAACGTTACAGTCAACGAGTTTATAATACTGATAGGATTATATGCTCAAAGGATGTCCTGACAGCCTACCATAACTGCCAAGGATAATTTCAGTCCCTGTCTCTAACATAAATAAATCTCTTCATTATATCCTAGGAACACTGGAAGTGTCAAAGGACATTGAAGTATCTTTAATATTTCATGTGAAAAATGATACACAGACCACAATGAAGGACTTTGTTACAGCTCTTTGTGATCTACCTGAGTTTGGTTATATCCTGTGTTCTATTAGCACAGGTTATCAAAGAATTTATACCAACTCTGAAGCATGCTGCCTCATCCACTTGAAACAGAACAATTTCTTTTCTTTCATGCTGTTTTGAGGAGGTACAAAATCTTAGTCTTAAAGTTTGTAAACCCAGCTCAGATCACAGTAATGGTTTTCTAGAATTTACTGTACTTCAATATCCCCACTCAACCATGAGTTACAAACTTCAGAAACAAAAATGAGCACATGGAAATTGGTATTCTGATTTTGACTGCCAAAACTAAATAATTTTCTTTTTTTATGTAGCTCAGCCTGGCCTCAAACATGTACCTCAGGGCGACCTTGAACTCCTGATCTGCTTGTAAGAGCTAGGATTACAGGCATGAGCCACCAAGCCTGGAAACAGAGGATTATTATTAGTTTTATTAATATTCTATTTATTATTTTTATTTTATGTGTACGCGTATATTGCCTGCATGTAGGTAAGTGCACACGTGTCGTGCAATGTCCATGGAGGACAGAAGAGGCCATCAGATCCCCTGGAACTGGAGTTTTGGACAGTTGTTAGCTGCCATGTGGGTGCTAGGATTTGAATCCAGGTCTTCTGCAAGAACAGTGAGTGTTCTTAACCGCTGAGCCATCACAATCCAGCTCCCAAAGAATTATTTTTGATGACTAAAACTGAGTGGAGTTCTGAGGAAAGTCCTAAGAGGCAAAGCAAACCATTTATCTTCATAATAAACCAGCCAAGTTGAAAATGATACCAAAAGCATTAGTCCATAGAACAAATGAGAAGTAACACTACTAGATAAAAGCAGAACTTGTAACATTTTGGTTATCTTAGTTCTTGAAAATATACTATTTAATAAAGTTTAATCTTTTTAAGTCAGGCAGGGGGACTCATGCCTATAATCCCAGCACTCAAGACACTGGGGCATAAGGACTGCCCCAAGTCAGAAGCCAGCTTGGGCTAAGCAGTGAGTTAGTTCCAGGACAACCTGTCTCAGAAACAACACAAAACAAAATTTGTTTTTCCTGTGTTAAGGTGCTATGGATTTAACCGGGGGCACTGAGCATGCTAGGCAAGAGCTATGATTTATACCTGGCCCAAATTTTTATTTTATTTCTATTTACTCATTTGGTAGTACTAAGGATTAAACCTAGGTAATTGTGCACACTAGGCAAAGCTCTACCATTGAGCTGCATTCTCCAACCCCAAAATTTTATCTTTATTGATGACAATACTAGAAACCCCAAAGAGATGCCCAGAAATGAGTAAGAAGTGTTAAGAGATGCTACAGACCTCGAAATCTTATAGTACAGTGTTTATTAAAGCTAAGGTGTGGGGAGGGGATAAAAATCCCTATTTCTATAAATAATTTAAAAAGTGTAACAGAAATGGGTGGTCTGAGAACAGGACACACTCCAGCAATAGGATAAGGCAGGCTTTATGTAAAAGATAACCATTAATAAACACTACCACTAGAATCTACAATGCTAGATTCTTAGAATATCTGATTGATTCTGGGGTCTGACAGGTTTATACTTCCCATTACTTTAAACTCAAGATCTGTATTTTCATAAAAATATAATCTGATAGCTGGGCATGGTGGCTCACACCTTTAATCCCAGCACTGGGAGGCAGACACAGGCGGATCTCTGTGAGTTCAAGGCCAGTCTGGCTTACATAGTGAGTTCCAGGACAGCTGGGGCTACAGGGAGACCCTGCTTCAAAAAGACAAAAAAAATAAAAATTAAAAAAAAACTGCTATTGTGCTAAAATATTTAAATGTCTGGTCTTGCAACTGGAAACTTTTTCAAAAACTAGGTGGCCTCTTTTTTTTTTTTTTTTTTTTCCTTCAGTGCTGGGAATTGAACCCAAGGGCCTTGTGAGTACTGGGCAAGCTCTCTACCAAATCCAAGTTCAATTTGCATTTAAGTAATTAAAAATCGGGATGTTTAGGCCAGGCATGATGGCACATGCCTTTAATCCCAGCACTTTGGAGGCAGAGGCAGGCGGATCTCTGTGTGTTCAAGGCCAGCCTGGTCTACATAGTGAGTTTCAGGCCAGCTGGGGCTATAGGGAGACCCTGTCTCAAAAAACCAAAATAAATAAATAAATAAAATAAATAAATAAATAAATGGGGGGCTGGAGAGATGGCTCAGCAGTTAAGAACGCTGTTCTTGCAGAAGACCCGGGTTCGAATCGCAGCACCTACATGGCAGCTAATAACTGTCCATAACTCCAGTTCCAGGGGATCTGAAAGCTTCTTCTGGCCTCCTTGGGCATTGCACGACACAGGTGCACTTACCTACATACAGGTAACACTCATACATAAAATAAAAATAATAATTAAAATATTTTTCAAAAATCAGGATGTTTGGAGCCAGATACCCGGGTTCGAATCGCAGCACCTACATGGCAGCTAATAACTGTCCATAACTCCAGTTCCAGGGGATCTGAAAGCTTCTTCTGGCCTCCTTGGGCATTGCACGACACAGGTGCACTTACCTACATACAGGTAACACTCATACATAAAATAAAAATAATAATTAAAATATTTTTCAAAAATCAGGATGTTTGGAGCCAGATATGGCAGCACACGCCTTTAATCCCAGCACTTGGGAGGCAGAGGCAGGCAGATCTCTGTGAGTTCAAGGCCAGCCTGGTCTACATAGTGAGTTCCAGGATAGCTGGGGCTACAGGGAGACACTGCTTCAAACAAACAAACAAACAAACAAACCAGCTGCAATGAGGAAAAAAAAAAAAAAAACTTTGAAAAAAAAAATTCTTTCGTTCCAAACATCCTGATTTTTATTTTTTATTTTATTTTTTTTGGTCTTTTTGAAACAGGGTCTCCCTGTAGCCCCAGCTGTCCTGGAACTCACCATGTAGACGAGGCTGGCCTTGAACTCACAGAGATCCGCCTGCCTCTGCCTCCCAAGTGCTGGGACTACAGGCATGCGCCACCACGCCCGGCTGAAACGAAAGAATTTTTAAAATTATATTTAAATTTTTATTTTATTGGGGAGCGGTGCACATGTGACACAGCAAGTGTGTGGAGGTCAGAGGACAACCTGCCCAGCTGATTCTTTCCTATTATGTAAGTTCCGGGGACTGGAAGGTCATCAGGCTTGTTTGGTGATGACCTTTAGCTGCTGAGCCGTCTCACCGGCCAAAAAGAATTTTTTAAAGTAAGATTCTTGAGAATAAACACTTGAGCGTATCCATTCATCTAAAATTCATCGTTAGCATTTTAGAAACATGCCAAGCCATGCCACTAAAAGACGCAGATGGAAAAAGTAATCATATTGTTTTCAACTAAAAAAGAAAACTACCAGTTTGAGCTTTGAAACGCCATGCAAGGTAAAAAGTCGTCCAGACTGCAACTGTAGTCTGGGCTTCCACTGTGTTCTGTGCTAAGGCATACATACTTTTTAAACCATAGGATTTCCTCAGGGTCTGAAATGCCAAACTCCCTCATCTTCTTGACCATGATGGCACTCTTCTTGACAGCCACCTCATAACGCTGGCTACGAGTGAGGAAGTTACAGTCCTCATGCTGGAAATCGGGGTCGTTCAGAATCATGTTCTCTGCAAGGCAGTGAAAAGGCATCAAGAGAAACAGTGACAGTCCCTGCATCTCAGCAGGTTTGGCCAGAGGGCGATCCCCTCCCAACCCTGCCACGGGACATCCATCCCAGTGGGGGTCCCGACTTCTCGGGAACCGAGGCCTGGCTCCCCGCCCTCACCGATTTCTCGGCGGCGCCGGGTGTTCTCGGCGCTGCCGTCCAGGATGTGTGTGATCAACTCCGGGTTGAAGGTGGCGGAGGCCCGCTCCTTGCGTAGGTCGGGGTTCATGGCTGCGGCCAGGGTTGGTAACGAAGGAGACAGCGGTAGAGACGACAGGAACCGTGTCAAGCAGCTCCAGCTGCCAGCCCGCCCCTAAGAGTAGCCAGCGACAGCGGAAGACCCCGCCCCGCCCTCTCCGGCCCGCCCCTTCCCCAGCAGCCCTTCCCTGCGTTGATCCGGGATCCTGGCAGCGTCGGACGAGGAGGCGGCAAGAGCGCCGGGACCGCCCGCCCGACGGACGAATCCCCAGCGCCCGGCCCGGGGAGGTCCCCGACCAGCTCCTCGCCAAGGCGACCCAGGTAGAAGGTCAAGAAACCGCCTCGCGACAGGAGTGGGGGAGGAGGGGGCCCAAGAGACGACGCCCCTCTAGGCTCACATGATCTCTGGGGCGGGAAGAAGGAGCCTGAAGCCCAGGCGTTGTGTACACGGATTGGCTGGGGCCTTGGGAGGGGGTGGGGCAATAAGGCTCTGACGAGATTGCGCCTGCGCTTTGGGACTCGCCTGGCTTGAGGCTTCCGGTCCTTTCGTTATACCCTCCCGGGAAATGAAAGGGGAGGGGATGTTATGGTCCTGCTTTTGGTCTGAAGTTATAGGGGAGAACTATGGGTTATTCTGGAACCTGCCCTTGCATGGAACGCCATGCAAGGTAAAAAGTCGTCCGGACTGCAACTGTAGTCTGGAGCAAAAGGGGATTGGCATTGTGGCGGAAGTTCACTGTCTACTGTTAAAATATCAAATATTAGAGACTTGACTTTAGAGGCGTGGGCCGTGCATGAAGGTTTACAGAGGGAACTGGAAGTGTTTCACTTCATCCTCGTGGTCCAGACATTTTCCTTCTAAACTGGCAGTTTCTAAAGTCTTGACATTTGTTTGAGGTATCGCTGTCATCGTGATCAAAGCCATTAATGTACACGTGCCTAAAAAATTCAAGTGTAGGAAGATAATATATATATTGGAGGGGGTGTTCTATTTTGAGACATGGTCTCCCAGTAGCCTCAGCTGTCCTGGAACTCACTACGTAGACCAGGCTGGCCTTGAACTCACAGAGATCCGCCTGCCTCTGCCTCCCAAGTGCTGGGATTAAAGGTGTGCGCCACCACACCTGGCAAGATAATATATTTTAAAAAAACAGTTGCTGGGGCTGGAGAGATGACTCCAGCAGTTGCATCGGCTACTCCTATGGAGGATCTTGGTTTAGTTCCCAGTATCCACATGGTGGCTAATAACCATCAATAACTCCAGTTCCAGAGGATTCATCTCCCTTTTCTGGCCTCCACAGTCCTTGGATGCCTGTGGTGTACCAACATACATGCAGGCATAACACACCTAAGAATTTTGTAAATTAAAATTTAAACTGGGGTAGTGGCACAGGCCTTTAATCCCAACACTCAGGGAAGCAGAGGAAGGCTGATCTCTTTGAGATCGAGGCCAGCCTGATCTATATAGTGAGTTCCAGGCCATCTGGGACTACAGGGAGACAGTCAAACCCCCCCCCCAATTTTTTTAAGAAACTAAAATTAAAAAAATTGCCTAACCTCAGAAACAGACATTTTTCACCAGATTTTGTTGTTGTTGTTGTTTTGGTTTTTTTCTTCCAGTTCTTCCTTAAAAAGTACCAAGTAGTGTGTGGGAATGTTATTCAGTAGAATGCTTATCTAGGACAAAGCCCTAGGTTTGATAAAATGGGTGAGGTAGCCCTGGCCTGTAATCCCAGATGGAAGCCAGGGGATCAGAAGTTGAAAGCCATTCACAACTACATATCAACTTTGAGTTACATGATACCTGGTCTCAATTTTTTTTAAGAGCTAAGTAAAATACACAATTTCATTTGGCTTTAGCTATCTTTTGACTTCATAACAACACTAAGGAGAACTGCACTCCTTTTTATGGCTCCCTAATCTGTCCTTGTAACAGCATATTTCATATATTTTTGCAGCAAAAGTATTGAGAATGGGTGAAATAAATGAGGTATTCATCTTGGGTCCAAACTTTAAGGGAGCTCAAAATACTACTCTTATTTCAAGGCACTTTTTTCCCCTCTGGGTGCTGGGGAAGGACCTCTGAGCTACATACTGGACCCACAGTCTTTATAAAAATCAGAATGCCAAGAAAGTTATGATAAACAAAATACCAAAAATTTAAGTACGATTAAATCATCATGGCTGAGAGTGCCTTTGGTGGCAGGCCCCACCATATGTGAACAAGGCCCTGTTATGGATGTTTAGCTGGGCTGAGAATTTTATTCCTCTTATCAAAAGCTGGCACTTACAGAGCTGGAGAGATGGCTCAGCGGTTAACACTGTTTTTGCAGAAGACCCGGGTTCGAATCCTAGCACCCACATGGGCAGCTAATAACTGTCAGTAACTACAGTTCCAAGGGCTCTTGACAGCCTCTTCTGTCCTCTGCCGGCATTGCACGGCACCAGTGCATTTACTTACATGCAGGCATAACACTCATACACATAAAAATAATAAATAAAATGTTTTTTTAAAAGCTGGTGCTTAAAATTCAATCAACACAAACTATGGATGAGATAAAATAGTTTGTTAGTTAATGGGTAAAGGGGAAATACTCCCTGACAGAGCTTTGGCAATATCTCAGAGAAGGGAAGATCTGGTTAGAATTATTGACCTATGGAAATTTGACCTGGCCTGGTGGCACAGGCCTGTGATCTCAGCTACTCAGAAGGCGTAGGCGGGAAGATCACAAGTCCTAGGTGTGCCTAGATTGATTTTCACCTTTTTCATGTTCATCCATTGAATTAATATCTGATAATGCCCCCAGAAACTGTGGTAGGCAAGAGGACATGGTTGGCACCCTTGAAGACCTTGTTGGAGAATGAATTTCAACTGGAACATGTAGGAGAAGGAGCAGTGATGTGAAGGTCTGGGAAATGCTGTTCCTGTCTAAGGAAGAGCTTGAGTACAGGTTCTGAGGTGACCATAAACCCGAGGAAGGGAGAGGGGAAATAAAGGCTCCATGTGAGCCAACCTGAAAAGTGCTCTCAGTTGTATCAGTTCTCCTGGGAAATCATCTTTCACGTGTTTTCCACGGAGTTATGGGTATGACAATCAATTCTGGAATTTCATTTTTAAACCCTCACACATATTTCAATAACAGAACAAAGAAGCAATCTACCTTTCACCTAGATTTTCTAGTTAACATTTTGCCATACTTGGTTTATCTGTCTCTGGTAGGTCAACTTTGTTTATTTGCTTTGTGTTTTGGAACTATTTGAAAAAGTATTGCAGAAGTTCTCCTTTACTTATAAATACTCAAAGATTTCCTAAAAATAAGGACTTGTACAAAAAAATTATCAATTAAGATAATTAACATTGGCTGGCAAGATGGCGCCTTGGTTAAGAGCACTGGAGGCTCTTGCAGAGGACCTGGGTTCAGTTCCCAGCACCCACATGGTGATTTACAACCATTATTAACTCCAGTTCCAGAGGATCTGACACCCTCTCCTGACCTTTACAGGCATTGCACATGTGTGGTACAGCTACATATATGCAGGCAAATCACTTATATACATAAAATTAAATTAATTTTTAAAAATTAAAAAAAATGAGGCCAGGTGTGATGGTGCACACCTTTAATCCCAGTACTCAGGAAGCAGAGGCAGGTGAATCTCTGTGAGTTCAAGGCCAGCCTGGGCTACATAGAGAGTTCCAGGTCAGCTGGGGCTACAGGGAGACCCTGTCTCAAAAAAGACCCCCCAAAATTTTTTTATTTAAAAAGGTAATTAACATTGATACAGTAAGCACTATATTTAATCTACATTCCTCTTCATGGCTTGGTAATTGTCCAGTACTGTACTTTACCAGATGTTTTTTTCTCTTGATCTAAAATCTAATCTAGCAATATAAATGACATTTCATTAGCTGCCTGGGGCTGTTCTAACAAAGTGACACAGAGTAGCTTAAAGGATAGACATTTACTGTCTTGTTTCTTGAAATGTCCACAGCGCTTGGTATAGTAACTCACATTAGAGAGCAAGTACTTGGGAAGCTGAGACAAGACTATGGAGAGTTAGAAGCCAGCCAGGGACCCAGAGTAAGACCCAGTCTTTAAAAGAAATTGTTTATGAGCTTGATGCGTCCCGGGACTGGGAGGGAGACCCTGTTCTAGGCCTCACTTCGGGTGGTTTGCTGGCAGTCTTCGGTGCCCCTTGCCTTGTGTTCACATCACGCCATGTCTGCCTTCATCTGTACTTGGTCATCTGTCATGGTTTTGTGCCCTGATTTCTCCCTATTAATTTTTCTGTTGTATCAGTTTTTTGTGGTGTTAGGATCAAACTGAGAATCTTTTGTGGGCTAGACAAGTGTTCTACCACAGAGCTATATCCCCAGCATGCATCTCCTCTCCTCTTTCCTGTTCTTTAAAAA